CCGTAGGTCAGTAAATAAATAAATAAATAAATAAAGAACCTAAATGATGCTGTAACTCTGTTATTTTAATGACCTTTTTTTTTAATGACCCGTAGGTCAGTAAATAAATAAATAAATAAATAAAGAACCTAAATGATGCTGTAACTCTGTTATGACGAAAAAGGTCTTCATTAATATCGTTTCCAAGCATAGTAGGATATAGATTTAATAACATTTTATATACCGTTATATCGTAAAATAGTATTCTCCATCTAGCGAACGACATACGAAAATTCTTGCCTCGCTTAACACACTCGCTGCTGGCGGATCCGAGCGGTGCCATTCGTGAATGTTCGATTCTTACCGATTACTCCGAACGGAACCACAGCTTATGTTGGTTTCTTTTCCATCGGTATAAAAACTTCCACTCAAGGGGATTGTATGTATACATATTGTGTAGGCATATTAGTAGAAAGGAACTCGGTGTGTCCAATTACTTGGCTACTTATATGTAGAAGTTGTGCAATTAACCCTTATTCATACTACCGGCGAACGTGTGAAGGGGGTTGCTCGTGTTTCAAAACAAGGTAGAAAAATCTTTTTTCCATGACACAGTACCAAAAATTTCTTTTGTGAAGAAGAAGAAGAGATTTACTGTGTACACCTGGAATAGCAGATTAAAGGTATGTGTGTACATTTTTCACATTAGAACTTACGTTATAATTGTAAACTTGTTTTTTTTTTTAAGAATCACATTTTTCGACCAGGCATTACGGATAACTTGAAGTCGGGTTATGAACCGATTCACTTAACATTTGATAACATACCTTTTGAAAATCTGTCCATATAGCATCAGTTAAAATAATAATTATAATTGTAGCTACGTTAGTTTTTCTTTGGTGTTCGTAAAAGTGTCCGATTTTTACCAAAAATACAAATTTTTCTATTAAACATCATTTCCATGATTAATATGATTTTTAAATTTGTTTAACAGGAGTAATCTACAATACTGCGAGGTTCTTGCATTTCTAAAGACTTGTGTGGATTTGCATTTATAAATAGGATATCCCATTTGAATACGCATTTATCTCCCAAACTAATCATTATTCCGAAAAATGTTGCAAATAGTACTTAGTTGGTTTCGAGAGGGACATCTTACGATGGTCATAAACCATATCTAAGTGAATGTGCCTGAGAGATTTCAAGGTGACCTTTGTTTTTTTTCAATGGACGTATACATATATTTTCATTTAGGTGGACATGTAGCTAATTCGGTGACGAATTCATTGGCCTAAATATGTTGGTCTCTCAAGGTCATTTATTGCCGTTCTAAACTTAAACAAGTAATACATAGGATCAACACAATGATCTTTACGACCGAATCGATGAAATCCTCCGGTAAGAAAGTTCTTGGTGACGTTCGACAAAGGTAAGTTTTGAAAGACAATAAATGACCTTGTTAGATTAACATACTGTATACATATATCAAGAGTCCACTGTATTATGCTTGTAATCACTCATTTGAAATTGAAAGTAATTTCGTCAACGGTAATCAGCTGTAGATTTTAAGGTCCACCTATCACCAGGTGCAAAAGCGTTAAGGGGTGTTAAGGGGTCATACACATTTCTCAGCACAAAAAAGTGGTCAATGTTTTATGAGTGATTGAGGGTACAATATGTACGAGGCTGATTGGATTAATTCCATTTGCAATGTAAAAGTACATGTTTATACAGTAGAAAAGTGACAAAAAAAATTAAAAATTATAACAAATATAACGTCTACGTACAACGGCGTAGAACGGTTTCTTTGGAACCACTTCAAACAGCGGGCATGATTCAGTTTATATGACTCATCCGAAATCAAAACATTCTATTTTTTTTTTACACTTTCTAGACTTACAGTATTCGGTGCACGAGGGGGTTTTAGAAAAAAAAGACGAAAATTTGCATGAAAAAGTTGTCTATTTCATTTCATTATTCATAAACGGTTCAATTTATTGAAAAAGGCCTCCGTTTACCCATAAAGAATGTTATTTAGAATATGTGTGTGAAAGATGAAGTCGATCGGATGAATGATGAGGCAGTTACCATGACCACGGTTTTGAGAAATGCTGTTTCGAGAAAAACGTGTTTAAAGCGGAGATCCAAAATAACAGTGATTTTACACATATTTTGGAAAAAAGTCATTGAGTTACAATTAATCTTTATTTAAATAGAAGCTTTTATTTAAATAGAGTTTAAAAGAATAGTTATTCAATAAATCGGAAAGAAATTTCTCAATAAATGAAATGGCCAAAAAGTATTCTATAAATTAAAATTTTATTTAGGTTACGAATAACCATTATTGATAACAGAAATTTAATTTGATTACCAGTAACCAATATTGTAAATGGCCGGAATTTTTTTTTGTTACCGACAAACCAGTATCTATTGTCAATTATTATTAACATTAGTTATAATTAGTATTCATTGACTACATAAAAATAGTTAATTATGAAACTTACATATTTTATTGAGAAAACAAACGGTATGAAAATACGTGAAACAAAGAATAGAATAATATATATTGTAGTATAATATTTTTATTACCTATTTTCATTTTCTGTCTTCTATTGGAAGAAGAAAAAATATGAAAGAACATTTTCAGCTCTTAAATTGATGCTAGACGACAAACAATGTAAATTATTTGCACACACTTTACAAAAGTTTCTGTTCGTAAAATTAAATGTAAAATTTACATATTAAGTATCGATATATGTATGATATATACAACTATTAATAAAAATATTGTACTACAATATCCTTTATTCTATTCTTTATTTCATATATTTTCATACCGTTTGCTTGCTCAATAAAATATATACGCTTTATAATTAATTTTTTTATGTTGTCAATAAATACTAATTATTATCAGTAATGTTAATAACAATTGACAGTAGTCGAATGTAACCAGAACAAATTTATGCCGTCGATATTAATTAGCGGTAACCATCAATACTTTTTGCCGTCAATAATGATTATCGGTAACCAAAACAAAATTCGGGTCATCGATAACGGTTACTGGTAACCATACAAAATTCCAGACATTTGTATTGGTTACTGGTAACCAAATTAAATTATCGTATCGTATAAAAATTCGGTCATTCGGTAAAATTTCCAATCGAAACCGGTTTACCGGTACTTTACCGGTATTTTTTAAGGTATTGACAATACAAGAGTATGCATTATTTAAAAAAACATGGTATTGAAATCCAATCGAGCATTATAAAAAATACATGCAAAGAAAACTATTCTGAACAGAAAAGTATAAAATGACATGACCCAAATACATACAGTGGGCGTTAAAAGTATTCGTACACCCTTCAAAACGGAACAACTTTTTTAAAATTGGTCCAAATGACTTGAGTTCTTTTGGGAAGTTAGAGACATTAGTTTACTAAATGATGTGTAAAAAAAAATTGAAATTGTTGCAATTGGTTGGAATCGCGAAGAAAACAGTAAAGGTCGTTTTTTACAACTTTTCAATCTGAGGCTATAATGAAAATTTAATAAATACGTACCGAAGATTTATGTTAGTTATATACATACTGAAACTTTTATTGAAATCGGTTAATACAGAAACGAGTAACAGGCATCGAAAGATGTAAGAATCTTTAGATATACTACAGTTGTAGGACAAAAATCACAAAAAACTGCGATTTTCAACATTTTTAATCGTTTGTATCTCGTTGGAACGTTAACCGATTTTGATGAGATTTTCAACATGTATATAACTAACATAAATCTCCGATATGTATTTATTAAATTTTCATTATAGCCTCAGATTAAAAAGTTGTAACAAACGACCTTTTCTATTTTCTTCGCGATTCAGACCCATTGCAACTTTTTCAAATTTTTTTACACATCATTTAGTAAACTAATGTCTCTAACTTCACAAAAGAACTTAAGTCATTTGGATCAATTTTAAAAAAATTGTTTCGTTTTAAAGGGTGTACGCATACTTTTGACACCCACTGTCTATTAGTAAACTATTGACAATACTTGTTACATATGGATTTTTATCACGAAAATAATGAAAAGACTCTTAATTTACATACATAATTAAATATTTTTTATTTAGCAACCCTTCTTGAGAAATAAACACGCGAAAACCACAATTTGTCTAAAATGTAGTTTCCCGATTGCGAACTAATTTTTGTACAAAATAATTCAGCCGCGGAAAAAGTTCTCTCAGATCCTACACTTGTTGGTCGGGTAGTCATTAGAAAATCATATGGTATTTGTATATACTATTAGCCCTTTACTTTTTCTTCTTGAATGTTAATTCTTATTTGACCACTTGTTTCAGATTTTCAATTTTCTTTCGGATTAGAGTTGATTCTTCATGGGTTACTTGTGTTTTCGTTTTTATTAGGAATTGAAGTTTTTCTTTCATTAATAACGTAGCAAATGTCAAAGAAGTTATTAAGATTAAGCTTACTGAATTTTTGGAATCGGAATCACTTAGAATCACTTGCGCGGCGCAAGTATAAAACGCATGGATCTACGTACTATAGCAATATGTATAATTTATAAAATTACCGGTAAAAAAATGGCAGGTGTTTTTCGCGTTTTACCGGTAATCGGTTAAGCGGGGCTTAACTCCTCCAAAACAATAGACAAGTTTCTATTTGTTGATATAGTCTGAGAAACTCGTGTATTGCTTCGGGGGATGATACTTTGTTTTTGGTAGTAATTTTAAAAAAAGTTATTACTTTTTTTACTTTAGCGCATCGTAATCGGCGAGAAGTCCAAACTTCTACATAGTTATCTACCTAAACATTTTTTTTACAATGTTTTTTTTACAAACGGCGACCCTCAATTAAAACATTCCCAACACTACTCAGGGGGATGATCTTGACAACAGTTTAAAAAATCATCGAAATCAGAGATGGCTCCCTTATTGTAAATATTTACCAAAAAATTGATTCTTCTAAGTTAAGAAACGTATACGACCCCTTAAATACCGTCATGGAACGTACACGTGATGGCTGGCCCGTCGATGGAGGTGCCTGAGCTGCGTGGACGGCAGCGCGGACACGCAGACCGATCTGGACCTGTTCCTGCGTATCATCTCGTGGCCGGCCGGCAACGTTTCCTCCTCGCTCTCGCTCTCCGTCGCCGAGCCGTTCTCCCGTCTCCCTTTGCTGCGTCTGCACTTCTCCAGAGTGGTAGCCGTCGATGGGGTCGAGGTCGTCGACGAGGGGACCGGTGGCACGCTCGCGGATGAGCCGCCCGTCAACGTGACGCCACGCAACCGCGAGACTAGCTTTATGTCCAAGCACAACATCCCTAAGATGTTTATACTCCGCGGGTTGTTTCGCGACACGAATCGTTTTTGGACACTTCAACCCTTTGTCGCAAATTGGACTAGCCGAAAAACGACTATGATTCACAGAGCAGAGGATACGGCGAAATCGAAAAATTTTAGCCCCCTGAGAAACGATAGCATTCAATGTGATGTTATCTGACCTGGTCAATTACACTGGTCAATATGATTTTTGTCACGAAGAACATTCACGCTGCTTCTTATGTATAATTTTTCGATGCTGAATTCGAAGCTGCAATCGCGTAAAAATCCACTTGCTGTACTATTATTTGGAAAAGCTGGGTGCCGTAAGTGTCGTACATGGTGAGCGATTTCATCGGGACATTTCGTGCCTGTAATATATATACCAGGGTAAATGGAGTGCTAATATGCTGGTCGAATACTCAAACGGGATGTTCCGCAAACAGAATATTTCAGAAAGTCAACAAGTGTCACATTTTGGGTAATATTCTACAGCTCCTAAATATACTAGGCGTCAAAATTAAGGGACCACTAAAATTTGCCGAAAATATGGGTCATTTTTAAATGACTATATCTCTGCCAAAAATAGTGATAAAAAATATTGTATACGACCATTTTGTAGCATGAAGTTTCTAGTTTTTGAACAGGGAATTCACAAATTATTTTCATGTAGTTTGTTCCTTCTTTTTTAAAGATGAAGCGCAGCAAGTGAATGTTAAAAAATGTTGGTCAACTTTCAGAGAATGCGTGGGCCAAATAAAATTTTTTCTGGTAATCCCAATGGAATACTTTTAGAGAACAAACTTTTCTCCTTAATTTCGTTTGTTTAATTTTGTTGTACAATTTTTATTGGCTGAGTTATTCGTCATCATATGAGAAAAGGCACTTTCCAATTTGAGCACCTGTAACTTGCGAACGCATGATCGTATAGAAAATTCCGAAAGAATTTTTGAAAGCTGTGAGATTTCTCTTTAAAGGCCTTCAGTTGCCAATTTGTTGAAATTTTCCTTCGTCGTATACAGTCCATTTCAAAATAACGTAAAATATTGCATAATTACCATTTTTCACAAAACACGATGCCATTTTAACCAAAATCGTGGAATCTTCCATGTGTCCACGTTTTTTCAAGTTAAAAGTACACGTAACCCCTGTGCCAAAGGCCGAACTAATCACATTTTTTTTACCCTATGCCCTCGATAGTGAAACTTGCGATATGGTCTGAAAAATTGGTGAATAACTCTTTTGCGGTACGTTTTCTCTTTAAAACGATTTCGCAGCGTTTGAACTGTTATGATCCGTTTTTTTTTTAGTTTCACTTTATTTGAGAAGAAAGGAGAGATTTCAGAAATTTAGCAAACACATTTCTAGCCAATCTTTTCGCAATGACAAAAAGTGCACAATGCGAAGTGATGAGAGAGTGCAGATGGTGTGTACATCCTACCCTTCCTTAGTTATTGTGATAGATGCACTCTTTTTTTTACTGAACTTAATTTGCTTTTTTTTTCACCAAACTTCTTCCTTTCCATTGCATCTCCTCGCCGTGTAATGAGATGAGTACCCCGGCATCTGCCAGCGCAAAAAAAAAAAACGCTGCGCAATCGTTTTAAAGAGGAAATGTACCGCAAAAGAGTCATTCACCAATTTTTCAGACCATATTGCAAGTTTGACTATCGAGGGAATAGGGTAAAACAAATGTGATCAGTTCGGCCTTTGGCACAGGGATTACGTGTACTTTTAACTTAAAAAAAACGTGGACACATGGAAGATTCCACGATTTTGGTTAAAATGGCATCGTGTTTTGTGAAAAATGGTAATTATGCAATATTTTACGTTATTTTGAAATGGACCGTATAGGACGAAGGAAACTTTCAACAAATTGGCAACTGAAGATCTTTAAAGAGAAATCTCACTGCTTTCAAAAATTCTTTCGGAATTTTCTATACGATCATGCGTTCGCAAGTTACAGGAGCTCAAAGTGGAAAGTGCCTTTTCTCATATGATGACGAATAACTCAGCCAATAAAAATTGTACAACAAAATTAAACAAACGAAATTAAGGAGAAAAGTTTGTTCTCTAAAAGTATTCCATTGGGATTACCAGAAAAAATTTTATTTGGCCCACGCATTCTCTCAAAGTTGACCAACATTTTTTAACATTCGCTTGATGCGTTTCATCTTAAAAAAAAAGGAACAAACGGCATGAAAATAATTTTTTAATTCCCTATTCAAAAACTAGAAACTTCAGGCTACAAAATGGTCGTATACAATATTTTTTATAACTATTTTTCGCAGAGATATAGTCATTTAAAAATGAACCATATTTTCGGCAAATTTTAGTGGTTCCTTAATTTTGACGCTCAGTGTATAAGGGTCATCCAAAAATTCTGCATGATGGAAACAAACGAATTGCATGTATGAATTCAGCATAAAAAGTACTATTAAAATCGCATATTGAACCTTATGTGACAAAAAAAACGTAAAATTTTGTAGACCAGTGTTATTGGACCTGGATAATGTTTAGGCCCTTGAACGACATTCTGTTAGGTCGTATCACGTGGAATGTACTGATTTCATTCTTTGGGTGTCGCTGCTCCGAGGGTACTTTCGAGACGCGAATCGCTTTTCGTGGCCTCAACCTTTTTTCTACGGACCAGATCAACCGAGAAACGACTATGGTTCACCGGATAGGACATGGTTAATTCGAAAAATTGACTCATTGAGAAGGGATAGCTTTCGCGAGATGAGATTTAACCGGGCCAATTAGAGGAGGTGGTCTGTATATGGGATAGCTACTTTTATTTGAAGACTTATTGCCAAACCTGTGGAAGACTTTTACGCTATAACACTTTAATATATCTAAAACATGTTTGCTTTATGACGTAGAGTTAAAATAAGCTTCTTGTTTTCTTTAGTCGTAGTTTCATACTATTCCCCTTCTAACATAACCTTATACTTGCGGCTAGCCCATATTTAGGCCCTAGCCACTATTTAGATCATCTGCTGTACACTGTCCAACAAAATTAAAACTTTTTTCCTGATTTACAATATCCATTGTGTGATTCTTGTAGGTTCTATTCGTCCCAAACACGAATTCGGAAACAGACTTGATCTATCACTCTTTATTAGAAATCCTCAATGAGTGTTTAAAGGCACCTTGGCACCGATAACGAGAGCCCTCAGGTGTTACGTTGACTTTTTAATGAGGTTTAGTGGTAGAGCTCTGAATTTTGAAGCCAATAATATTTGTTCCAGTCGCATATGACTATGTTTATGAAATAATTAATGTTCAATGCCAAAGAGTCTTCGAGCACACATCGAGGATTTACTGTATCACCCTGTAATGACACTTCTGCTTCTGGGTTCGAGTTTCGGATGAGAAACTTTACAAGGGGCACCCTGTGGATATTGCAGTTCAAAATTCGTGTTCAATTGTGTTATCGGATTTGGGTAGAGCGGTTAGGCCCACAAACGACATTCCATTTGGTCGTAACCGCATGGAATTACCGATGTTTGAATAATTGTCGGTCAACCGCGATCATCAAGCTGAATATTAATTTGAACTGTCTGCGGTGCTAATCGACGATTACTGTAAACGCGCGAGGACGCTACTTTCGGACATATTGGAAATATAGGCATATATTATACAACGTGTACCACGAAACGTGATCAGCTTTGATTATTCTACTGCTAGCTGATCGATCAAAATTTTTTTGGGATGCTCAACCATCAGCGTAGATGTCATGAATAAAACTAAGCAATCGTTTTGTAAACGTTTACGCGAGTGTATAGCAGCTGATGGACCACATTTTGAACATCGTTGTAATTAAAGTAAATAATATTCTTGAAATGTTTCTTTGGTTTAGAAGGGAACACAATATTTGTTATGGCGCAAAAAATTATAGATTTATTTATAAAAAACTGAAGGTGACCTTGAAAACTCTGGAAAAGAAGGGTTTATAAAAACTTTGGTACGTTCATCTTAAAGCTCTTCTGGAATCATATTATACTAGCTAAGAAAATTTTCGATTAAACAGCTAGCAATAAAGGCTAAACATGTTTCGTGGTCCACTCTGTATAATAGACTACGCGCTCCATGAGAGGAGTTGAAGTTGACAAGAGGGAGAGGGCAATAGCAAAAGTCGTTGCCACTCTT